AGACCAGACCAGACCAGACCAGACCAGACCAGACCAGACCAGACCAGACCAGACCAGACCAGACCAGACCAGACCAGACCAGACAGACAGACAGACAGACAGACAGACAGACAGACAGACAGACAGACAGACTACACAACCACTCATACAGATAATGTACTCATATATACCCACACACATACTCTCATACACAGACACACAAATCATCCAGAAAACTAACTTTCTAGCCATCCAAACAACTAACTAAAACAGTCAACCACCTCGGCAACTAAACAACCATTCAACTAACCTACCAATCAGCTAATTCTCCAACCAATCAATCAACTAACCAAACAAGCAACCAAACGATCAACCAACAAACAAACTAATCAACAAACCACCCAACCACTCAATGAACCAACCAACAAAACAAGAAACAAAACGATCAATCAACCAACCCAACCAACAACTAGCTTTTTAACTACCCAGTCAACCAATCAAACAGTCAATAAACCAACCAGACAACTAAGTAACCAACCACCCAGTTAGCCAAACAACCAATCAACTAACCAACCAACTAACCAACCAGACAATCAATCATCCAATCAAACGAGCAACAAACTAAACAACTTATCTACTGCCTCTAGCGTTCAAGCTTGAAATCTTACCTCCAAGCAAGGTCATCATCCTCACCGCCCCAACCAAAGTAAAGATTGGAGTGGCCATTGACTTTAATGTATTGCTCTTTGGAGAAACCTACGACTCCACCAACATAGTGTTCATACCGTAATCTGAAAATATAAACGTAGACAAGTATGTGATTTATATAAAATGGAAAAAGAATCTATACTATGTGCTAACGTATGTGTGTTGGTCTATACATTAGAGGCGAACGTAATTATGATACGTCTTGTGTTCGAATCCTGGGGTCTAGGAGTGCCTCCGGGCTCTGGTTCATTTGTATACATTTACTCAGCTATTATACTAAAACTTTTCTAACTATAAATTCTTTACATCCCAAGAAATGTTATAGTTGCTACGATAGACTACCACTACCACCACCACTACTACTCATACTACTGCCGTTGCTGCTGCTGCTACTACAACCACATCCTCTTCCTCTTTGTCTTTATATGGCTAATCTGGAGCAAACTTGACAGTAATAACCGTCTACCCCAGCTGCCATCTGATGCTAGAGTGACAGTGATGTTGCTCATACAGTTATGTTTTGGTTATATTTTACACTTTCCAATACATTTCCTGCCTCCACCTACCACCTGTATCAGTATCTTCAACAAACAACTGTCAGTGCGTCTGTCGTCTTTTTTGATTTCTCAAGTTTGCTTCTGCTCTTGCATTATCAAGGACTGGGAATAAATTACTTGGCTGTGTTCAGGTAAAGCCAGGGCATTGTTTGTCATCTGGCTGTATCCAGCGGTTACAGCACCGGCCAATTTGTTTCACCGGTACATGTTTTTAAGGTATAATTTTCAATCGCTAAAGTTGTTATACACAGTGGGTGAGTACCGGCACCTCTTTGTGTATGAGTGTGGACACATTATGATATAGCAACTGTTTTGCTATTAAAAAGGTACTGGGAATAACCGTTTTACCGTGCCATCATCATGTATCAGATCCTTTGCAGAATCTTTCTCATCACAGTCTACCTGAAAGAAACTCGGTCTCTCGCCAGATCCCCCACCTCGTGCACCCTCATACCCAACGTGTCACGTATGCCCTATGCCCATCTTCATGCTGACTGGACCTGCTTTCCAGACATCGTGCCTTATTCTACTATTTCATCTAATCCGGTGTCACGCCGGTGATATGGTCACAATATTTCAGTTGCCGATACAAGATACTGTTTATTAGCCAATCTTTCTTGATGTAAGAACTTCCAGAATGTCGTTGTTTCTTTTTTTTTTTGGGTCGATGGTATTTCGAAAAGCTTTCTAAAGCACTTAAGTTAAAAATCCCTATATTATAAACTTTTCCTTAATACACAATAGACTTGCCTGAATCGATTCTTATTGATGGCCGCGGCATAATGGCGAGGATTGTCTCCACATCGGTAAAAGTTTCTGTCATTCAAAGGAACAAGGTCCACATCGTGAAGCAGAAAACAATCGAAGTCCGCTGTCTTGAGTGCCTCTAAGAAGCCAATGTTTAACAATGCTCCTCTGTTGAATGTTGTTGGAGGTGCCTGAGATATAAATATTTGTAGACATTTTAGGTAATTCATGTTATCTGCGAATCTCGGAAATTATTAGAAATGTTTTTTTTAAAACTCTTTCAGTACCAGGAGGTTACAAATAAGATGCCAAATGATAAAAAACGGTGGTGTATGAATGTATTACTTTCAAACTGGCAATATAAACTGTAATATTTACCATTGCAGCAGCCAGTCTTTTTAGTATGTTCTGTAAAGTTCAAAATTAAGAGAGCGTATTATGTGTGGAGGGTTATCAAGGGATAGACACACATCAGGTGGCCTTCGGGTCTGAAAGAGTTTTAATCCTAGGAGAGAGAAAAAGTAGGTTGTACATGCATTTTTAACATGCAAGCAGAACGATCAGTCAAAGCACCTGATAAGCGCAGGACAAATAAACAACACCATGACAATGGGCTGCACCCTGGTGACAGTGTTGTGACAGTGTTACAAGGTACAGCTGTAAAAGTAAAAGAAGATCTGACATTATGCTTAGTAGACTACACAAAATGTTTAGCTGTATAAAATCTGACGAAATAATCTAAAGAATCATTGAACATGGAAAAGATATGGGAATAATAAAGAACATTCATTGGTAGCAAACAGCAGCTACACGAATTAACGCTTCAGAAACTTTTCAAACAATGATCTTCTATGTCCATTAATTTGTCTTCATCATAATAAAATACCGATCTGACAAAGATCCTTCGGTATGGAGATAGTAAGCAGGAATAAAACAGGGTTGTCATAATTATGTTTATTAGAAAAAGCCAGCCATAACACAGTACCTATGTAAAAACCTTTGTTTTATATGACACCCCCACACCCCCCCCCCCACCCCCAACAACCCCATCGCCCCCTTTCCCCAAAAGAAGGATTCCTTACCTGCTCTATAATAAAAATGGTCGCATCAGCCATCTGTTTTCGAAGAAATGGAATCAAGTTTCTTAGAAGAATATTTAAATGTGGATGTCTGTTGCGGAATGGTATGATAATAGCAAGTCTTTGTCTGGCAGTACAGTTTGCTGATCTTATCCGGCCTCCTTTCTCCATCTCTAGGAATAAGGTCTTTAGCTTTTGCGGGTTCGTGTCTTCAATAACTGGCTTTGATGGACCTTCTGAGAATATATAAATGAATGAATTAATATACCGTGCAATTTATCTTCGATGAGGCAGGTGTATGTTGAAGATTGATAAACAGAGAATCATCATCACCATCATCAATTTACACTTCTGCCGTTAAGTGTTTTTTGGGAGGTACAGTTTGCGATCCACTGACTGATGTACAGCCATGGGTATTAACATTCCGTGTCGATGTAGAAGCTTTCTAATGTCATCAGTGGATATTCCCCTAGGACTGCTTCTTGATTTCACTTCAGATTTTGTCATGTTTAGTGCCTGTGTTGGTAGTTGTGCTAGCTGCATTCTTACTAACTCACCAAACGATTTGATCTACCTTATCTCAATTTATTTGCTATATGTTGTTCTTTCTACAGTCTGTCTGATAATATCATTTCTAGCTTTCTCTCGAATGGTTAAGTTAGCAGCTTCTCTCAGGCATCTCATTTCACAGATGTTAATTGTACGTATGTTAGCCTTTAATAATGTTCAGGTCTTACACTGATAGCACAGAGTTGGCATAAATATGCTGTTTATAATAGACAGAGAATGAAGATTTAAAAAAAAAAGATAGTCAGAGACACCCCCCCCCCCCCTCCATTTACGCATCAGAAGTAATGTGGTTGACCTATGTTTTAATTATACCAATCGGTATTCAATGACGTCTGCGTAAAGTATATATCCTGTGGCGTTGGTATTCATGTCTGTCCACAACAGTCTACATGCAAATGAGTCGGACCTGTGAAAGGGATGTGCACCCAACACCCAGTTTCTGGAACAGGGTTAGAGTCCAAAAGTAGATGAACAACCAGAACTTTCCACCGGAGTTCACAGCGGTGAACGCGAAGAAGAAGAACATATCAGTCAAAATAAGGGAGCCGCGGTGCTGTACCGGCTGTGCGCTTGTTTGCCGGTTTGAAGGTCTTGAGTTCGAATCCACATCGAGTGTGAGTTTATTTCTTCAAAACCTACTATGGCGCCTACGTTAACCAAGCTTAAAATGGGTGCCAGGCAGTGTCCTTCTTTTTTCTCTCAGAAAAACTACGCAAGAAAGATACATTCGTATATTATACAGAATGATTATAAACGCAACGTCAACATGAAACTTACCTAATCCAGGTGGATGCAACGGACATAAAGGTACCCTAAGGTGTTTAGATGAGGCACCTCTTGGCACTTGAGGTTCTTCAGACTCGGCTGAGTGTGGAATATTCTTGAAAAGATGCGCACGTCTGCCAGATTCAGAGGACATTTCTGGCTTTTGTGAACCAGAGTTATAAATAGGATGCTGATCATTTGCTTTGCCGGACGTTACATCAAATCCTGATATGAGAACTGTTGGAGACACGAACAAGTTTGCTTAACACATCGAATCCTGAAATAAGAACTGTTGGAGACACGAACAAGTTTGCTTAACACATCGAATCCTGAAATAAGAACTGTTGGAGACACGAACAAGTTTGCTCAATGTTGAGTTAAGAATCGACATCACAGCACTACGGACTTTCCCATTAAGCGCTCTGTCTTCAGCAGCAAATGCAGAATTCCAATTCCGATGGCACCAAATGAACCAGATAATTAAAGGTTAAAGATCATCATCATCGTGTAGCATGTCTTAGCAGAACGTCACTCTCATCACGGTCTGCTTGAAAGTAACTAGGTGTTTAGATGAGGCACCTCTTGGCACTTGAGGTTCTTCAGACTCGGCTGAGTGTGGAATATTCTTGGAAAAATGCGCACGTACATGTACTTTCACACTCAAGGAGACACTTTTATCTTGTGCCCATCTTCGTGTTGGTCAGTCCCTGCCCCTCCTTCCTGGTACCGTGCCTTTTGCTATAATTCTTTCCAATCCGTCATGGCAATTGATATGACCAAAATATTTCAGCTTCCGAGACAGGATGATGTTTATTAGCCAATCTTCCTTGATGTTCAGATCTTTCAAGATGCCAGTATTCATTTTCATTTTCTTTCAAGATATTGTGAGAATTTTTATATAGCATTTCAGCTCAAAAGCCCCCATTCTCTTTCTTAAGGACTGGGAGATAGTCCACGACCTCACATCCGTATGTTACTACAGGGAAAGATGCATGCTCTTACAATTATAATTTTGATTTCCTTGCTGGTGCTTAACCATAGATTTTTCAGAATGTTTAATCTTTGTATTGCTATGGCCAAGGTTAATGATAGTCACTTTAAACAAGCAATGCCTGCAACAAAGCGTGGCATATGGTATCACAACGTATAGTTTAAGAATGGAGGTGGAGGCAGTCACTGCTTCCTTCCGCTGGCTTGAGAATCAGCTGTACACACATGTCGTAACTGAAACTGACTCACAGAGTGTATTAAGAAAGGTGGAGACAGGCATGCTCCGTGAAGAGTGGCAAGCATCACTTTAGAGGCTTGGGTAGTTAGTGTCCTTTTTAGATTTTCTTCCAGGTGATGCTGGGGGGTTGGGAAAATGAGCAGACAGATAGACTGGCCGGTTCTGCACCACGTAGTAGTGAATTTGTGTATGACAGTGTAGACATTATGAGGGCCCTTTGGGGGCGAATGAACAGTGCAAAGGCACAAATAAACCAATACTGTCTGAGGAGAATGGCTTTCGGCGAGTTATTCGGGAATCTTGCCGACGCTCAACACTCAAGGGAAAGGCGAGACGGATGTACAATCAGGCAGTTACTGGTACCTTCGGAATTGGAACTCTACTGAAGTTGCGGACGGAGAGCTTAATGGAGTGTCCCCAGTGCTACGATGTCGATTCCTAATTCAGTATTCACCACATACAGCAAGGAACGCGTCGTTTCAATCACTTGAGCTATTGGTTAATTATTCATCAATGCATTCAGGATTATGAAAGTATTTGTATGGGATTTCTTTCGATTACTTGATAGAAAGATATTTTGACCACCATCACCACCACTATACTTACCATCACTCTTCTTCTCCTCTTTCTCTCAAATTAGCCATTCACGAGAATCGTTTCAATTTAATTTTCTTATGTTATCTACAAACACACATACATGCAAAGTCTTTTCTCATAATGTTGCCGATCAATGATATCTGTTTGGGTTCTGATGTGTTTAATATCTTTGTATTTTAAGAACTTCTTTAGAGGTTGAACAAGGATTTGGGATCTATCTTGTTGGTCTGCCTTTCAGATTAACATTTGTGTTTCCTTTTAAATCTCAGGGTGATAAGGTGAACCTTAGGTAACAGCCTAGAGGGCACAAACTGGTCCATCGATCTAGAACACCAAACAGAACACCTTCCCCTTTTTATAGTTGTGAGTTAGTCAGTCAGGAGCATGTCCACTAAAGAACCTTGCTCCCATAACAATCCTCCGGAAAACTTCTCAATTCCAGCGTTCGATACACCCATCTGGAGATCATCCGCCATATCATGCACCAAACTTCTCTTTGGCCTTCCTCTTCCTCTCTTCCCAGGCATACACTCCTCCATTTTTGTTATCTCTAAATTTTCGTGACGTTTCAACTGACCAGAATATTTAAGTTTTCTGTGCTTTGACGTCTTTAATAGCCAACCTTCTTCAGTATTGAGTTCTTAAAGTATGGATGCGTTTGTTCTTTTCTTTGCCCATGATATTCTTAGTACCCGTGTATACCATGTGTATTCAAAGGCATTTATGCGCTTTTAGGCTTCTTCAGTAAGTGTCCAGGTCTCAAATGCGTATGCTGCAATAGGAAAGATGCATGCTCTTAGTAATCTAATTTTTATAATTATGTCTGTCTCTGTCCCACTCAATAATTTATTCAGTTGTTTAACTTTTTTTTTTTTTTGAAGAGCAATTTATAGTCGTTTACTTTCTTTCATTGTGTCACCATTATTGGTAATCAATGACCCAAGATATTCAAAAATGTCCACAACCTCTAATCTTTTAGTTGTGAAGAAGTTTATAAATTTATTATCTTTTTCCAGGCACTTGCAATGTATAAACGTAGACGAAGTTCTTACTCCAAGCACTTTCTAGTACGTTCTTTCACATTCCAAGATCAACTTACATTGCTATACGACTTTTGGTCGGCGTCTGTGGCTTAGGCGTTGCGAACGCGCTTCGTAATGCCGAAGTGCCTTGTTCGATCCTAACTGCAGGTCTTGCGCCTTGCGTTGGTTTCGACTGGGGTATCGAAAAGCCGACCTCCAGAAGCAATGGCAAGCTACTAGACGTAAATTTTCCTATAAAAACCACAAACAGCAAACAAATGATGAGGTTGGTTCCGCAACGTCCTATAAAGGATACGCAAACTAACTAGTGTGTCATTACTACTGAACATGCGATGCTTATACAGTTTAAGCAGATCAGTTGGCTGCCACATTTTCAGCGTAACCTGTTATTCAGTGCCGGATTTAGACTTGATGAGGTCCTAAGCTTTGTAAAGCCCTGAGGCCCCTACTGTTTTAAATTACACCAGCCAATTTCAAAACCTTAAAAAATATACACGCCTTTTAAAATTTTCAAGTAGTCTTTAGTAGAACCCAAAATAAAGAATGTGTCTGCAAAATCATAAATATTATAATATATACTCTTAAAGGCTCTATAAAAAGCAAATGTGTTTTTGTGAAGAAAAGGAATGTTTCTAGGCCCCTGTAGATTATTAGTCCCTAAACAACAACTTAGTTAGCTTATGCCCTATCGGGTATTACTTGTTATGGTATACCGTAAATATAAAACTACATTCAATAACCCCTCACGCCACAGAGGACTACTAGAATTCTGTAGCATAAACAGAGCACACAAGATAGGAATCTTACCCGGCGATCTCTCCAGGTCGGCGTTGCTGGCATACTGGGTAACAATCAAAAATATCCCCAACCCCACACAGGCCAGACAAACGATCCGGAGAACCTGGCATAGCCTCGCTCGTAATGCGACACGAAACAGCCACGAGCACACGTTTGCAAGCTTTGGATTA